TAATTACTTTTAATACAGTACTAAACAAACTGATGTTATAGTTGGTAAATCTCACTATTCCTTCCATAAAAAGTTTACTAAAAATATACACAGAAAGCATAAAATACAAAATATAAAAGTATATCATTCATTTACATGCATCAGTCTTTAACAGACTGGTATGGCTTCATTACAAACTGTTGCAAGACTATGATATTAAAAGTAAAGTTGCCGGGTGGCAGTGTCGCATGCCTTTAATCCCAGTACTCGGGGGGCAGAGGCAGGTGGATCTCTGTGAGTTCGAGGCCGGTCTGTTCTACAAGAGCTATTTCCAGGGCAGACTACAAAGCTACAGAGATAAATCCTGTCTCAATAAAACCAAAAAAGTAAAGTTATATTTGGGATTTGCTGTGATAGGATTATAACATATTTAATGTATATTGTCTAAAGGGTTTCCACAATATTTTAATGGCCTGCCCTTATGGCAAGTTTCTGGTTGCATGAGAGCTCAGAAGTGTTATATTGACATGTGATTTACGTTTTCACTCTTTTTCTTTCATTCAAAATCAATTTTTGTAGATACTCATTTAGAAATTGGAATAATTTTGAGTTTCCTGAAGAACACTGAGAAAGATGTTCTCAATATTAAGGAATCTAGATAAACAAAATTAAAATATTTACCACATTTTGTTTGGGCATACACCCATATTTCCATTAATACATAATTGCTGTGTTTGTTACCATGACCAACCAAAAAAAAATGAAATACCTCTGCAAATTTAGCAACTGCTCTTTGTTTACCTTCTTCTTTCTATACCTAGAAATAGTGTATTCTCAGTTACGATGTGTTTAGATGCTTGTACAGAATTATTATTTAACAAATAGCATATGATCTCTATTGGGGGAATATCAATCCCCTCAATTTGGAAATGCTCAGGACTACCCTTGGAATAAATCCAGCTGGTCTTGTTTGAAGTTGATAACTTTTTTAAAATTTTACTTTATTTTTAAAGATTTTTATTTATTATATATATAGGGTTCTTCCTGCGTGTATCCTGCAGGCCAGAAAAGGGCAGCAGATCTTATTGCAGATGGTTTTGAGCCACCATATGGTTACTGGGAATTGAACTCAGGACCTTTGGAAGAGCAGTCAGTGCTCTTTACCTCTGAGCCATCTCATTTTTTAAAAAAGAGATAAAAAAGAAACCATGAGCTGGCCCTGGTGGTATAGCCCATAATCCTAGCTTCATGGGAGGCTGAAGCAAATTCAAGTACTTTTGAATTACAGAATGAATTCAAGGCTAGTTTAGGTAAATTATTGAGCCCCTGTCTCAAAATAAAAGAAGACTAGAGATATAGCCCAGTGTCAGAGCACTTGCTTGGCATTTACAAAGTCTTGGGTTCAACCTCTACTACAGGGAGGCAGAAACTGGGGAGTTGAGATGGCAGCTGCTAACAGAACAGCAAAACAACATGAGTCTGCTAGAAGAGACTGGTGGCTCAAGCTGTGAGGCACTGAACTGTAGGAAACCATCTAACCTGGGATGGGGAACCGTTACAACTCCAAAGCATATAGATTTTTCTCTTTTCCTTTTATTTATTTATTTATTTATTTACTTATTTATTTATTTATTTGGTTTTTCGAGACAGGGTTTTACTGCTTAACAGTTCTGGCTGTCCTGGAACTCGCTTTGTAGATCAGACTAGCCTCGAACTCAAGAGATCGGCCTGCCTCTGCCTCCAGAGTGCTGGGACTAAAGGTATGCGCCACTACTGCCCAGAGTATATGGATTTTAAAAAATTAATCTATTGTGTGTTAGGAGTTTTGCCTGCATGTATGTCTATGTACCATGTGCCTGGTACACGTGGAAATCACTACAATAAGCAGCCTGTGCTCTTAACCACTGAGCTATCTCTCCATTCTTACATTTAGATTTTTTTTTAAAAATTCCATACTGGATACAATGTAAGAGATACTTTTGTAGTTCGTTTACATGTACTTTGTACATTATTTTGAAACAGGGTTTCAATATGTAGCGCTGGCTATCCTAAAACTCATTATTTAGAGGCTGGCCTCAAACTCAGAATCTACCTGTCTCTGCCTCCAAAGTGCTGTGGTTAAAACAGTGAGCCACAATACCTGACACAAATTTGCACATTCCGGTGACTTAAAATTGGGAAATACTGATTTTATAAATTGGTTTTGGACTATCACCATTGCCAAATTTTTTTCTTCATGAAGTTTCCTATACCTACTTGTATATTTTTTTCCTTTGTGCCATTCTATATAGAAACAATACCCTATTGAGCTCAGCTGACCTGGGCTGAGTAAAAATGAGCTAACTACACAAGAATAACTGGAATGTAAGTTAAGTTTGAAACATTTCATTTTGAAACTTAAAACTGGTGTTTGCTCAAACGACAACAGGCCCTCTCTATATTATTCTCAGGAACATAGGTAAATTTTCCTTCAAGCGTGCTGCATAAAGTGGCTCATTTTTCTGCTAGTTTAGCATCTCTCAGTTGGCTTCTATACATGCTTAAAAACTGAAAAGGCCAGCTGGGCATGGTGATGCACACCTTTAATCCCAGCACTCAGGAGGCAGAGGCAAGTAGATCTCTGAGTTTGAGGTCAGTTTGGTCTATAAGAGCTAGTTCCAGGAAAGCTAAGGCTGTTATAAAGAAACCCTGTCTCAAATCAAAGAAAAAAAAAAGGAAAACAAAAACTGAAAAGGCCTGCACAAGTAGGCTGGCATCCCTGGTTAAAACTGATGAGTCCTCAAACTCAGGAAAGGCAGGCAACATACTTAGTTCACCAAGGCAACAGTCAATGTACCTTAGCATAATAGAAAAAGTATTCTCTACACCCACTGTGACAGTGGCTATGTACAAGGATAAATTATTCTAGAAACCCGGCAAAACAAAGTTTTAACTTCTACAATCTATGTTTGTATATGTTGTGCTCTTGATTGTTTGCACCACACAGACAACCTTAGTCAACTAACATTTCAGCAGTAAAAATAAAAACTCAAAGCTTGGTTTTGGTACAAGTGGCACATATACTATTTTTAGAACTATAAGAAGCTATAGGCATCAAAATGGGTGCTTCTGCCTCAGAATGAGAGACATGAATTTGAAATCAGTAAGTCAGCATAAATGTTCTGAGACAAGATCTTACTATATACACCTGGCTGTCTATACTCAGAGACTCTCCTGCCTGAGTGCTGGAATAAAGGGTATGCCCCACCACACCCAACAAGGCTTTTTTATCTACCATTAATAACTATCAAAATTAAGTAACATGGTAAGTTATAAAATACAACTGTCACAAGAAGAAATTAATAGACAAAAAAATTGAAAAGGATATAGGAAGTAAAATATCAGGGCATATCTACAGGCTAGGAAAGATAAGATTTGGCAGTGATAAGCATTCTAATTCAGGAAGAAGCAGGACAAATATTCTCTAAGCCTTAACCCAACCCAGATGAAATGTTGTTGTTGTTGTTGTTTTTGTTTTTTGAGACAGGGTTTCTCTTTAGCTTTGGAGCCTGCCCTGGAACTCGCTCTTTGTAGACTAGGCTGGCCTCAAATTCAGAGATCTGTCTGCTTCTGCCTCCCAAGTGCTGGGATTAAAAGTATGTGCCACCACCTTCTGGCACAGATAAAATATTATTATCCCAAGATACTAACCTTTGCTTGCCCTATAAAGGCCCATTACACAAATTAATGTTTATATCCTAACTGGGAAATCTCCAAGTCTTACATGGTCCATCAATGGCGAATGGTTTGCCAATCTGAGGATCAGATCTTATATATCTGTATTCACCTATGTTATATCCTGAGAGGCCCAGCTAGAACAAATAGCCAGCTGAATGATCTCTCTCTTTACTATCCACCCTCACCATTGTCACCAACTTCTAACTGTAACACAGGTCACCACAATCTTGTAAATGTCTGTATCCATCTGAAAAATAAAATCACAGTCAATATTGGTAAATAACCAAAAGAGATGGCTGAGACACTAGCATAACAAGGTCACTGGGAAGAAAGGCCTTTATCACTAAAACTTGCAAGTATTCTTTTACTTCCAAAACAAATTACTCTTCTTTCTATAGTGGCCCATTGCCCTCAGGATAGGAGATAGACATTTTGAAGGCAATATAGTGGGACACAAAGCTGAAAGTTTAAATGATATAATCTGACTCAAGAGAAGGCTCTATAAATAAGCCTTAATCTGGTGAAACCTGATTTTTATAGAACTGTATACTGTATTTTCCTGTGTACAAAGGGCAGTGATACAGTGAAAAAAGATAAAGAACATGGAAACTTCCTAAGACAAAACTACATTTCTTAAATGATTTAAAAAGATAAAAGAAAATGAATTTAATATAAAAACAAATCAACCATATACAATATAAGAATCTGGTCCCTAACTCATGGAAACTAACAGAGACAATTGAGGGAATCTGACAAGTTTAGATAGTTGATCATATCAGAAAATAACTTTTTAAACATTTTCAGGGTGTTGTGATTATATTTTTAAAAGATACATATTAAAGTAGTTACAGGTGAAATAGTAGGCTAAGATTTGCTTCACAGTAACTAGGAAATAGGGAAGAAAACTGAAGCATAGGTAAAGGAAGATTAGCCATAAAGTGAATCAGGGTGATGAAGGAAGGAAAGCCTATTATACTATTACCCGTATTTTAGAGTATGTTTGGAATAGTCCATAGTGAAATTTAAAACAACAAACACACACACAGACACTTACACACAAGAGCACTACTGGGTGCCTCTGAATAATGGAATAAAATTCCAAATCTAGCTTCTAGCTCCATAACTAGACAAACTATCTAGGAATCTACCATAAACTGGCAAACATTTACCAAATCATCTTCTGTCAACCTAAATAGGACATTGAGTTCTCTGTTAAGTTACTTACCAGATACCCTTTAATGTTCAAGTTTGCTACCCAATTGTAATTTGTGTTTAAGTTAAAATAATTTCTGAAGCTAACAGAATTTTAGCATCCGCAGAATTTATTCGGCATAACCATAGAGGCATTGTCTTCATGCTGCTACACACAGACACACACACAGATATAGCATAATAGCCATATTTAGCCCAAGCACATTCCTTTTGAGGCTCATTTATATGTCTTCATATGCCACAGCCCATCATTTAAATAATGGATATTTTCAATGCCAATTCCTTTGTTGACTTTCTCACTGTAAAAAGAAAAAAAATACATAAGCTGGTTTTATGAATTTTATAGGCTTAATCATTTATGAGAAACACAGTCTAAAGTGTCGTGCTACTTTACAATCAGTGAACACCATGTAGGAAATGTATTGCTATTATATTATTGTCTACATTAAACTACAGTACTCTGTGGCAATTTGTGAGGTTTGGGGATTTGGTTGATCTGACTTCTTTTTTAGTTGGCTATTTGTTTTTTTGTGGTACCACAAAATCAAACCCTGGGCCTCATGCATGCTATACAAGCACTCCACCATTGAGCCACATAATCACTCTTGAAATTCATATTTAAGTGATTCTAAAGCTGGGTGTGGTAGTGGTAGCATACACCTATAATCCCAGACTGGAGGCAGATCACAAATTCAAAGTCATCCTCAACTGCATGGTGAGTTCAAGATCAACCTGGGGTACAAGAGACTCTGTCTCAAACACCCAAAAATACCCAGGTGTTAGTGGCCAATGCCTTTCATCCCAGAGGCAGGTAGATTTCTGTGAGTTCAACGCCAGCCTGTTCTACAGAGTGAGTTCCAGGACAGCCAAGGCAACACAGAGAAACCCTGTCTGGAGTGGAGGACAACCCAGAAAGTAAATACAAACAGAACAATACCTACAAAATATGCAAACATCAACACCCTAAATCTCAAAGCAAAATTAATAGAATTTTGGTTATATATGTTGAAAACATGCTACATTTCTTTTATCACCAGGTCAGAATGTAAAATATTATTTTTGAAACTGTTACTTTGTAGTCTCAAGTAGCCTCAAACTCATAATCCCCCTGCCTCCACATCACAAAGTGCTAGAATTATAGTCAGGTGCTGCTACACCCAGCTGTATTTGTGTTTTCAAAACTAGCAGTAAAATACACACCCTCTATCACCAATTTAAACCTAAATAGGCACTAAAGAGAAAATCCTAAAGTATCACATACATAGATAGGTATAACACCTGTTTCAGCACGTTTCGTTTCAAAATGTTTAAGAATGTAACCCTGAAGACAAAGTGAGTTGTAATGGCTTCCGAATGTTAGGAAAAATAAGAAATAAGCTACTTTGCTTAGATATTTATAAGATGTGTTATGAATGACATCAAACGTCACTCATGTTTCAGTTATATGAACCTAAAATGAGACTTACATATCTTCTGCAGACATCTTCATGACACCAACACACAAAGCATGTTGCTTTCCTTCTGCCATGATTGCCTGAAAACAAGCTAAGAAAACTATTTCTCAGTTTGGGGAAGGGAAGTATGAGAATGATTGCTTTGTTCTCCCCTAGACCATTGATTCCTTACGAGCAGGAACCTAGCGGTCTTTGGGTACAATGTGAATAGCCAATAAATCCTCAATGAATTGATCGTTTTAGTTTCAAGCCAAATATCAGTACTGCACCTCCCTATGAACCAAACCAGAAAGTCAGGCAAAAAGATAAAACTTACTACAGATAAATACTAAAATCTGTGAAATATTTATCAACTGCCTTAGTTATTTCTACAACCAAATGGTAGCTTTATATAACTAACACATAAGATAATAATTATATTCCCAGCTGGGCAAGGTACACGCTGATAATCACCGTACTTAGAAAGTTAGGGAAGGAAAACCATAAATTTTAGTAAACCCTGAGCTACATAGCTAGTTTAAGGTCAGCTCTATGTTACATAATAAGACTGTCTCAAAAATATACTAGATTTCCACTCGATTTTGATGAGCCCCTTGTAACAGTTTCAGCCTTTATACAATTAAAACAATGATTTTAGTTATCCTTTGAAGCTTCCATGTTTTATGCTGCAGTGTTTGAGTTCAAATACACACAGAATCTCTCTACTATTTTTTGCAATTTCTGTAAATCTGTTACTTCAAATGAGGAAACTTCATCTTCAAAAGGGAGTGGGGGGTGATGGTAAAGTTAAGGCACTAGGAAAACCTTCCAGTCAAGGAAAAATACAGAACAGAAAAAATACCATTGTTTAAATCTATAAACATAAAATGTAACCTTGTCCTCACAGAATATTTTTCTCCATTGACTTTCCAGTGGTCCATTCAGTATAGCACAAATATTTGAACACCTAGTAAGTGACTCGTATCTACATCAATACAATGTGTGTCTATCATATATAATTTATTCTATCCTTTAGGTATAAATGCCACAAAAGAGAAAGCCTTCTTTTGAGCACAAGACACAGAATACACCTTTTGTTTTTTGAAAGTTAGTGTCATACTATGTAGCCCAGGCGGATCTGGGCTATGTAAACCAGAATGGTCTCAAATTCACAAAGATACCTCCTGAGTGCTAAAAGCATGCACCTATCATTACACCCTGGTATTTTTGTTTCTGAGGCTGACTTCAAGCTAATGGCAGTCTTCTTGCCTCAGCCTTCCATGTACTAGGATTATAAGCTTAAGCTAACACATCCAGTTAAAACACACCTTTAAATGCAACCCAACACTTCATAGTGAGTTCCTTGTATGCACCAATTACTATTCCTTTCCTCAGCCTAAGGCAAATGACCAGTTTGTCTATGATAAAGCAGAAGATAGATTCCTTTCCTAATGAACAAAATCCTATTTAATAGATAATATAGATGAAATATTGCTGCAAATTGGAAGTGATGCAGAATCACTTAGTCCTATTCATGGCATAAACAATATCCTTTAAACAGTATAAAGCAGGGCTGCGATGGTGCACCTCTGGAATATCAGCACCTGGGAGGCTGGAGCAGGATTGTGAGTTCAAAATCAGTGTGAACTACCTAGTAAGATCCTGAATGTGGGGTGGGAAAAGAGGACAGACATGGTAGCACACACCTGTAATCCAGCATTTGGGAAGTAGAGGCAGGAAGATCATCAAGAGTTCCAGGCCAGCCTGGGCTGCATGAGACCCTGTCTCAAAAACAAGTTTAAAAAAGTGAGTTTCCTCCCTAGCAACCCCTAGACAAAAATAATAGGAATCATTAACTGATCGTGCCTTAAAAGACAATCATGACCAAATGTGGTGGTCACACCCTTACTTCCAATGTTTAAGAGGCAGAGGCAAGAAGATCTCTGTGAATTTGAGGCCAGCCTGATGTTTACATAGCAACTTCTTTGCCACCAGGGCTACATAGTGAACTGCTGTCTCAAAACGAATAAAAAGTCCAACATAATAAGCTGTGCTGTACATGAAGACTATTCCTTGATTTGAAGCTGTCTCGGTTTATCACTAGTTCTTCTATTTCTGGTTTGTTTTTGAGGCAGTCTCACGTACTCCAGCCTGGCCTTGAACTCATGGCACTTGTCCTGTCTCAGCTTCCCAGATTCTAGGAATACAGGTACATACCACTGCTTATAGGTCCATGTGCATTTCTTTTAAAAAGTTGAATAGGTTATATTGGCTTTTTGCTCCTGTGGTTATTTCTTTTTCTTTTCTTTCCTTTTCTTTTTGCTTTCTTTCTTTTCTTTCTTTCTTCCTTCCTTCCTTTCTTTCTTTCTTTCTTTCTTTCTGTTTTTCATAACGGGGTTTCTGTGTAGCCCTGACTATCCAGGACTCACTCTATAGACCAGGCTTGCTGGCCTCAAACAATCTGCCTGCCTCTGCTTTCCCGAGTGCTGGGATTAAAGGTGTGTGCCACCATTGACTGGCCTGTGGTTATTTAAGGTCTCACTTTTTCCTTGTTTGAAACTACATTGCAATGCCTCTAAATGCATTTATTTGACCTATCACATTCATTATTAATATCTGCCACCTTCTTTTTCTAATGAGACCAGTAAGAACACAAACTAAGACAGTCAATCTGGGAATATTAGTCCTTCCAAAAATTCATTCTTAGCTAGGTGTGGTGGCACACGCCTTTAACCCCAGCACTTGGTGGCAGAGGCAGGCAGATCTCTGTGAGGTAAGCCTGGTTCATATATAAATTCCAGACACCCAGGACTAGGTAAGATAGTCCCTGTTTCAAAAAAACAAATAAAAGTCCTAGCTAGACATGATCGCTCATTCTGTGATCTGATACTTGAGAGCTGATACAGGCAGATCACCAAAAATTCAAGATTAGAATAGACTCTTTCTCAAAAAGAAACAAATTCTACTTATATATTTTCAAGTTGAATATGCTAAAAATCTTAAAATGTTTTCTAAGTGTATGTGTGTGATGCTCACCCGTAATCCTAGTACTTGGGAAAGCTGAACTAGAAGATCACCATGAGTTCAAGGCTAGCTTGTGTTGCATAACAAGATTATTTTAAATATAAAAATACACATTTCTCTTAGAAAAAATATGTTCTCAGTTCTAAACCAACCATCTAAAAGTCAATTTTTAGGCTGGTACATTAATAGATGCCTGCAAACCCAGCACTGGGAGGCTGAGACAGGAAGATTCAAGGCCACCCCCTACCTATAGAGTTCCGGGCAAATGCAGGCTACATAACACAAAATACGCCCCCCCACACACACACACTCTATATCTGTTGCCTCAATTCAGTTCTTTCTTGAATGTTTTTATTCCACTATTGATGGGGAAGCTTTGTTAACTAATTATCTTCAAGAGGTGGGACCAAGTTAGGTCCCGAATTGAGCTAACTTCTACACACTCTATCTGGAGAGTCAAACTAAACATTAAAGTGACAAGTTTATGTGCAAAAGAGGATCCAGTCAGATCACCTATAACCTATTCATAATCAAGTTTCAGACTGCATCCTAAGTCTGATAATAGGTTGTAAACAGGCTGCAATGACACTGGAACTCCTTAATAACTTTTTAATTACCTTCTATGAATCCACATAAAATGAAACACAATTTATCATCACGAAATAAAAAGGGAGGGCAAGAGGATCCAGAAAGTAGAAGTGCTTAAGATACAGACCTGATGAGCTGAGTGCTATCCCAAGATCCTACAGTAAAAAGAGAGAATTGACTCTTGAAGTTGTTCTTTTACCTACACATACATATACATATGCATATATACACATACACACACACAGAGAAATAGAAAACTTAAAAATAAAAATAAAAAAGGAATCTGGCATGACAGTATATGCCCGTGGTATGACCCATGAATAAGAAATTCAAGAATAGTGTTGGCTACATAGTAAATTCAAGGTCAGTTTAAGACTGTCAAAAAGAAGAAGGGAACTGGGAATAGTGGTAAACATCTGTAATCCCAGCACAAGAGGCAGAAGCAGGATTACAGAAAGGTCAAGGGTAGTCTGGGCTACACAGTAAAATCTAGCCAGTCAGAGATATATAGTGAGATCCTGTCTCCCAAAAATAGATAGATAGATAGATAGATAGATAGATAGATAGATAGATAGATAGATAGATAGATAGATAGA